GTCTGATTTTTGGTAATTTTCCTTTTATTCTTTACATTCAATTGCATATGGGCTGGGGATGGGCTGGGCTGGGCTGGGCTATAGCACATGCCTACCATCCCCTACATGTGCCTCCGATTACACTATAACTATATGTTGGGGTATAAGAATAAATCAACTTGAAAATAAAAAAAATTAAAATTTGTTAATTGTATTGTGTACCAAACGTGCACATATGATAGGGAAAGCAAGTTTTATATACTTGCAACAAAGTAGTGCTGATTAAAACCATTAGACAAATGCTACGCAACCCGTGACCCGCGACTTGTGACCCACAACCTGTGACCCGCGAACAGCGACCCGTATGGGCTCGACCCGGATGGGTCAGCAGACGGACTTGGGTTGTAGTCCAAAATTTGTGGATCGACCCGGATCCCGTAGCGAGCGGGCTTTTTTTTCACGTCGGTCGTTACCGGGCTCACAAGTTGGCTGGTCGACCCGGCTCGACCCACCTGGATTGACACCTCTAGGGTTGGGGACGAGCTGGGCTATAACACACGCCTACCATCCCCTACATCTGCCTCTAATTACACTACAACTATATGTTGGGGTATAAGAATAAATCAACTTGAAAATAAAAAAATTAAAATTTGTTAATTGTATTGTGTACCAAACGTGCACATATGATAGGGAAAGCAAGTTTTATATACTTGCAACAAAGTAGTGCTGATTAAAACCATTAGACAAATGCTTCTGAGGCATAATAAGAGCAGAACCATTGTCTCTTTCTCCCCTTAGTTTATCAGTTTCTTGTATATGATGTGAAGAATAAGAATAAGGGCAAAAATCCACCATAGAGTTGTCATTGTTACGAACATTATCCAGAGAACTATTATTAACGTCGTCGTTGTTGTTTATTCCAAAGCCATTATAACTCATAAACTTGTTATTGTTCCATCCCATTAGCCCTTGCGTTGCTGCTTTATACGCTATACTCCCTTGATTTTGGACTTGAGGAATTTGTTGGTATTGGTTTTTGTACAATCTTAGCTCCTCACAAACCTTTTTGTATTCTCCATAAGGACCAAGCACCGGATCCTTTTGCCGGCAAAAGGCTTCCCAGATGAGCGAGTCTATAGCTTGTTTTCGATTTTCTTCCTCGAGATTCATTACTATTTTCGTTACATTGCTCACACCAAAAACCTTATGCACGCCTTGGAATTCTCGGGTTTTATTGATGGGGAAGAAGGGTGCCAATATGCACTTTTCAGTGCATTTTTTCCTTTGATGCTTGCATGATGCACATGCAGATGTGCCATTAGCCCTTTGCATCTTAAAAATCAAATCAAGACATTCAAATAAAGAAGACAGAATTGTATTTAAATGTGATTTCAATGCAAAAAATTGATGTAATAAAGTGAATATAAATTAAAAAAAATCACATGTTTTGAACACTATTTGTTTGGAAGGAATGAAAAGAGTGCCTTTAGATGATAAACATAAGCAGAAAACTAGTAAGGAAGAAACTGATGAATGGAGAGAGCATGGAAAGATAGCCACAATGTACAACTAATCAAACTAAGATTCTTTGTGAATATAGTAGTGAGTTGTTTTACATATACAAGATTTGTAGTTAAGGAATTTGTTTCAATACTGGAATTGGCACATCTGCCTCGAAATGACAGTTGATATCGAGCACGTTAATAGATAAGATTTAGAGTTTTCCTTTTTATATTATTATAAATACTTCTTTAATGTATGTTCATACCTCTTTACAACTAGATGTCACCATTTAACTATCAACTACGACGACACATATAAAGCTTGAAGAATTAGTTGCTCTCTTCGTGCTCTTGCTTCTTACTTTCTCCCTGAGGCTTCGGCTTAGTAATAAAGCATGAGAGAAGACAACAAACTGGCTATGTACAAATTAGGATCCACGTGACTAATGCCATAGATAAGTTACATCGCATTTGAGGAACCTCATGCCCTTAACTACTTTATTTTTGGAAAACACATTTGGGAAGAACATTCGAGAAATGTAACCTTTGCCTTTAGACATTAAACCCGCGTGTGTTGGTGAGATCAATTATGGCATATGAAATTAAGTTGCTAAGCAACCTAAGATGGAAATTAGCCTAGATACGACACCTAATCGACAAAAATGGAGGGAGTCACTTGCAATTCTCTAATGCTATTGACAAAAATGGAGTGGAGTGTATGAGCAATCACTAAGAATATCCTTGCAATTCTCTAATGTTATTGGGATAGTCACATCAGCCATGAACTTAGCTTGTAGACCTTCTCTTCGAAGAAGAAAACAATGCCCCTCATAGGAAATGTGAATGACATAAGCACGATCAACATAAATAGACCTAGTTACCCACATAAATCACCAATTCTAGAAGCGATAAGAAGACCTAATTGGTGCAATTCTAACAAACAAGTTTCAAGATACTCGAAGAGTCGCCCTTCCCAATCAATTTGAACTATATGCTTAACTAGAAGGCACATAGTTCATCATACATCATTGTTATGTTGGGTTTTGACAAATCTAACCATTTTCTATAAATATGAGGAAATCGAGGACTACAATTAAGCTTTATTATTTCAAAACTTTGTTATATTTTTTAAGAATTGTGTTTGCTTTCGTCGGCAGAGTCTCTTCCCCACTGCATTTCAGCTATGTAAGATTGGAAGAACTTATCGTTTACGATACTTTTAAGTTGTTAGTCCAAAACTAACTAACTTTAAACATATGCAATATTACACATTTTTTTTTTTTTTTGATATTTGAATCCAGTTATATAATGATCTACTAATCATTTTCACAATCCAACCACTATGCTCAATAGAGTCCAAAACTAAGACACTATAGGTGCAACTATTAAAAATGTGATACAACCTCGAGAAATTACTTGAAACACATGGTACTTGGCAAAAACATGGCATCATAACTAAAAGTTGAGATAATAAAAAAAGGGAAAATGCTTGTTGTATAAATTCTTTTATTGATTGATGAGGTGACAATAATTTGAATTAAAATTGTCGAAATTTATTCACCACTTAAACGGTTGTGTTTATGTAACGAGGGTTAATAAAAAAAGGAAAATGGAGAAATTTTTTTATTTGTTTTTTAAGATTTTGATTCAATTAAATCTCACCACCTTATTTATTGGGTTATGCCATTTGTACACTCTCTTCTTACACCGTGGATACTGGATAACATTTGCAATGTTGTCAAAAATAGATTGGTTGAAAAAATAGTTTTATTAAAATGTCCAATTAATTGATGTCGCGTGATAGGGTGCAAAGAATGACGTAAGAGATGATGTACAACCAAACATGATTGTTATTTATTGGTAAATAAAATTTAAGTTGTGATGTAAATGTAATACAAAATTCAACCCTAATATTAGGGATGGCGCATGAACATGACTCGCCCCAACTCTTACATTTTATATTATTTTAAAAATTTAAAAGATAGATTATTTATTAAAAAAAAAAAAGTGATGAACGAACAACGAAAATATTTAATATCGAGTCCTTTCGGGGCCACTGAGGTGAGTATCCGTCCGTAAACTTCAGAGCCCCGTGAAATTAGTCGAGGTGCGCGCAAGCTAATTCGGACATTCACGGTTATCCAAAAAACAAACAAATAATAATAATAATAATAATAATAAAACTACTGTATAAAAGGTGAGGACGCTACTATGTTCCCGTCCCACATGATCCAATACCATCCTTCCCTACCTGAAATGCACAGCCAAGAAAATTAAAAAAATAATAAAAAGAAGAAAAAAACCGTTAAACCCTTTAAACCCTAATTTTTTCTTCTACACAAGATACTACGAAACGGCCATTTCCCTTGAAGTGCAGAAATGGTCGGTCCATTGCTCCGATCTCTCTGGTCCACCACCACCAGAAAAACCGTCTCTTCTTACTCCTCCAATTATCTAAAGCCTCAATTATTCGGACGCGCCTTCTCCACGGCGAGCGCCACTACCGCTGCTCCATACGTCGCTCTGGGAGGTGCTGTGGACCCTAGCCAGCTGAGGAACGTGGCTGTTATAGCACATGTCGACCACGGGAAGACCACCCTCATGGATAGGCTCCTCCGACAGTGCGGCGCTGACATCCCCCACGAGCGTGCCCTAGACTCTATTAGCCTCGAGCGCGAGCGTGGTATCACCATCGCTTCTAAGGTACTCTATAAGATACCACTTTACTCGAATTGTAAATTACTATTTTGTGTTTGATTCCTTATGAATTCATGGAAGGGGGAAAGTTGCTGGTAAAAATAGCAGCTTGATGAAGTTGCTCAACATGACTCTGTTTTCCCGTGAAATGTATTGCACTATCTGTTTTGATGTTGATTTTAGTCACTACATGCCAAATATATGAAATGGGGTGATTTTAATGTTGTATTAATTTTACACCAAGTGTTCGAGTCAATCAATTACTCCTATATATATTAGGTGAAGTTCTAAACAAGATACACATATTTATATTAAATAGAGAAGTCACCATTATGAGTAATGAGGGAAAAAATGTCAGTGATTAGGAGGCTGATAGGACAATAGAAAACATTTTGATGATTCTTTCAATGATCCTACTAGTAAGGATGACATAGGAGACCTTCAAGTTGTTTCTATTGTACTTTTACAAGTAGATTACAGTTTTTATGTGATTACTGATTCATGAACTTAATATTTTATTTTTTTGGTTTTCTCAATCTGTCTCATGTTAGTTTGAAAGTTAGGATTTTTGTTAATTTGGATTTTCAAGTCCATTTGTGGTGTATTATTTCAATTTTTTTTAATGTTATATTGAATTATTTTATTGGTTTGCTATGTCACCCCTCATAGAGATAAAATGCCTCATTACCTGATTGAGTTTTTTTTAAACATTGTTTGCACCAATCAAGGCAATGTAAATTAATTGTAGGGGAATATTCCTGATATTTGGGTTTGTATGCAGTCCTTTGACGCGGAGTTGCATACATTTTTGAATATCTTTGTTTACATCTTTATTTTGGATAAAATTTCTTCCGTAGTAATGGAAAAAGGGACGGTCTTATGGCTGCTACCATTTGGTGGGTAGTAGGTTGATGAAAGTCTACGTGATGTATTTCTTTCTGAGCAGCTAGTGGATGTAGGTTTTGTTGTCTATTGTGCCACTGTAGCATAGTTAATGAAATTATATTTATGTTTCCTCTGTTGCTTATGCTAATTTACAGTTTTCAATTTTAGATGTCCGGAAGCAGTATACTATTGATTTTTCTAATTTCAATACCTTTTAAGAAATAAATAATGAAATTTGGGAATTGTATACACAAATAGTTCTTGAAACCAATAGGGTGGGTATCTCCTATTCTAAGTCTGCATTATTCGTGACTTTTGGATTTGTACAGTCTTATGAAGTGGACTTACATTACTTATCAAAAAAAATGAAGTGGACTTACATCATTTTTGGGTCTCTCTTGGATTCCATCTATAAGTTAGATAAAATTTCCCTAGTGATGATAAAAGGCTGGACTTATGGCTGCCACCATAATGTTGGTAGTAGATTGATGAAAGTTTAGGTGAGGTATTTTTTCTGAGCCAGTGGATGTAGATTTTGTACAGACGAGTTTGCCAGTTAGCATAGTTAGTGAAAAAAAAATAATATTTTTCACTATTCGGCATGTTAATTTAGAGTTTCAATTTTAGATATATGAACTGTATTACTGATTTCTCACTTTATATTACCTCTTTTTTAAGAAATGAATAATTAGATGTAGAAATTGTGCTCAAATAGTTCTTGAAGCAAGAGGGTGGATATCTCCCCTGCTAAATTTGTGCATATAAAAATTTGTGACTTTTGATTTGTAAGCAGTCCTATGAAGAGGACTGACATGAATTTTTGGATCTCTCGGATTCCATCTTTATGTAGGATAACATTTCCCCTGGCAGTGATGATACAAAGGCCGGACTTACGGCTGCTACCATTTTGTTGGTACTTGGTAGTAGATTGATGAAAGTTAGGTGAGGTATTTTTTCTGAGCTAGTGGATGTAAAATTTGCTTGGGAATGTAGATTTTGTTTAGTGGATCGTGCCAGCGTAGCATAGTGAATGAGGATATAAGATACTCTCTGTCTTGCATGTTAATTTACAGTTTTCAATTTTAGATGCATGGACTATTTTACCGATTTTTCACTATCCACCACCATTCTTTTGGAAATGAATGAGCACATTTGGAAGTTGTACGCAAATAGTTCTTGAACCCAAAGGGTGGATATCTCCTTTTCTGAGTTTGTGATGAGGGCAATGAAAATTGAGTGCAGTATCTGTGACTTTTTTGATTTGTAAGCATTCTTATGAAGTGACTTTCATACCTTTTTGGATCTCTTGGATTCTATCTTTATGTCGGATAAAATTTGCTCTGGCTGTGATGATAAAAAGGCCGGACTTATGGCTGCTACCATTTGGTCGGTAGTAGAGTGATGAAAAATTTGGTGAGGTTTTTTTTTTCTGAGTGAGTGGATGTAAGCGTCATACAGACTATAATGCTCGCATAGCATAATTGAGGAAAATTATTAATATTTCCTCTATCCTGCATGTTAATCTACATTTTTAACTCTATTACTCATTTTTCACTTTTGAGTACCACCTTTTATGATTGAAAATTTTATGCATATATCTTGAAGCTCTAGCTTGGTATCTCATTTTCTATGTTTGTGCATTTAAGGGCAATGTAAATGGTGGTGGAATATTCGCGACATTTACTAGGTAAAGATGACAAACTAGAGTTGTGTGAGAGGCAAATAACCGTGCTTCTCTAAGTCTGCATTTGTGGAAATCATACTTTTTTAATAATTTATTTTACAAGACATGTGATATGCTGCATTTTGTCATCAATTGCAGGTTACGTCTATTTCATGGAAGGACAACGAGCTTAACATGGTTGACACTCCTGGACATGCAGATTTTGGTGGTGAAGTATGTGTTGTTCCTAATAATTCTTTTTCATCATGGTCTTTACCTTTTGATGATGATAGAGAGCTTAGAAAAACATGAGACTTACCTGTGGTTTCAAGAGAGCGGTTAGTTTAAACGACCCACGATTAATGGTTAAAAATAGGAAAGTAGTCCGTCTAAGCTTGACACCAAAATACAGTTATCTAGGAAATTGACAAATTAACTTGCTGAAGTGTTTGAAGTAGGTGATTTAGCGTTAAATGGAGTGAAGGAGAAAAATGATTCATGTAGTTGTCCCATATTTACTGGCTGTCTGGAATAATGCATAGTTTGTTGTCTTTGGTAAGCCATAGGATGGAGGGCTTGTTATGTAATAAATTTTTTTGTCACTACGAGAAGATTATTAAGCATAATGTTGTAAGAAGGAAGGAAAGAAGGCAGGGAAAAGAGGAAGGGGAGACAGCTTTGATTTTTGAGGATGAAAAGATTCTCTTCTCTGAAATCTCTGCTAGGATTTAAGAATCCAAGGTAGCCGAAAGTGTGGCCTTTGGATTGGGAAGCCATGAACAATGTGCTTTTGATCAAGTCACCGTATGAAGAGAAGGATTTATTCAACTTGACACAAACAATGTTGGCAAGAATTTATGGCCTAATTTCCTCTCTGTATAAAGATTTTTGCTTCCAGTATTCTGATTGTTACTCCGGAAATTTCTCCAAACTTTTAAGTTTCTCTGCTTTGCTCATCTAACTCATTATCTTACTGATGGTTAACATGTTTTTGATGCCAATATCAATGAGTGGTTCCCTTTTTGTTCAAGATGAGCTGATGTTATAAAGGACTAGCAGCTTCATATGCATAATTTGTCTTCACTTAATCTTCGTCCCATGTGACCCAAAACAATATGTTCCTTTTCCATTTTTCTCTTATGAAGTTGAAATCATCCTAGTTGAATAACTCTCAATCTCTTAAACACACTCTTTCAGTTGATGTGATCCAAAAATTTGCCCAGTTTGCAACCATTTTCTTGCATCATTGGAATTGACTCTACCCATTCATTCCTGGAGCCACGCATTCTTGCAATCTCTGAGTACTTGCAACTGTTATTAATAGCTGTAATGTGACCCGATGTCACCACTGCATGAGTGTCGAATTATGTCCAGAAAGAAAACATAAAATGAGAAATTCCTTAGTTTTTTCTCAGCACATCCTCTACAGCCTTAATGTCACCTTGCATGCACCTAAATATCATATTCTAGTTGATCGTGGGCATCTGTGCTATTTTGACTTTTATTATATTTTATTGAATTTAAGGATTGGTTTATAAGTTTTTCAAAACTACTATTTTATTTCTAAGATCTTGTACTTTGCATCTTTTTGTAGTCTCCATTAATTATTTACCACATCAAATGAGTTTACTTTCTCGTTTTATTGTGTTATAGGTCGAGCTGGTTGTTGGCATGGTTGAGGGAGCTGTTTTAGTTGTTGATGCTGGTGAAGGTCCACTTGCACAAACAAAATTTGTTCTTGCTAAGGCCTTAAAATATGGTCTACGCCCTATACTTCTTCTGAATAAAGTAGATCGACCTGCGGGTATAACTTCTGTTTATGCTTGTGTTCTATCAGAATATTTAGAATATTTTTTTAATGCTGGCTTGTCAATCTCTTTGTTCTGTGTTTTTTGTTTAAATCAACTTCCATTGTTGTGTGACCAGTTGCATCATCTTCAGGCCTTTATGTACAAAGCACACCTGGGAATACAATGTGCATTTTTGGATGTTATTTAGGACTTGGAAAATATCGCATTAATTAAAAATACCTTGTGATGATGACGGACCTGTGCTTTTTTTGTCTTATTAGTTACTAGTTTATTTACGGGAGAATATTTGTTATTCTCAATTTTTTGAACTAACATTTAACCTAAGGTTGAATGGAATTGTTTAAATTGCATCCAATTTCCTCCCCTCCCCCACCCCCATAACACACAGACTAATTCCTCTCTGGGTCTGTTTGGTTTTGAAATCAATAGACTTTCATAGATTATGGGTGAATTTTCACCTCGATGTCTATCCGCTTTTCTACAAGGCCTTCTGAACAGGGCCTACTTTCAGGACCAGGTTGTTTCCTGCCACCTCTTGTCAGAGTAGGCTGCTGAGTAAGAAACCTCTTGTCACAATGGTGTGGGACATTACAGTCTGGTGCCCTGTGGCTAACTCAAAGGGCCTGAATTCAGAGAACAGTTTGGAGGCCTGTTAATTTATGTTAATTCGATTTTAGTTCATGATCCTCCAAGAATTTGATCAGTGCAAATCTGTTTCTTCTTTTGCATGGTACTCTTTTGTAGTCATCCGAAATGAGAACTTTTTTAATATCGAGTGGGAAAATTCATTATATTCAGTTTCTTTGTCCTTCTAAGAATACAAATTTCTGTTAACAGATATCAGTTATTTATAAGAGCGTGCATTTTGCTACATTTATCTGATTTTTATTCTTTTTTGTTCGCACGAGCATATGCTATATTTGAGTTGAAGTATATTTTTTCAATTTTTTAGCTATTCATTCCCTTGTGTTCTTGGCGACATGTGCAGTTACTGAAGAGAGGTGCAATGAAGTTGAGAGCCTTGTTTTTGACCTTTTCGCTAATCTTGGTGCTACAGGTGCTTGCAATACTGCCTTCATTCTATGTTCTCATTTGCTTGATTCATGCCCTTGTATTCTTGTAAGAATTTGTTGACATCTGCATGCAGGGATGTGTGTGTGTGTGTGAATGCGTTCTACCGTTATGATATACAATGTTATTAACTTTTCCATAACTTTTCTTCAGAGGAACAGTTAGAATTTCCTGTTCTCTACGCGTCTGCAAAGGAAGGATGGGCTTCATCCACCTACACAAAATGTCCTGATGATGATGCCAAGAATATGTCCGAGTTGCTTGATGCAATCATTAGACACGTCCCTCCACCAACTGCTAGCCTTGATGCACCTTTTCAGATGCTGGTTTGTTCTGGAATGTCTATGGTTTAATATATGAATTAGCACGAATTCATTTCTATTTTATGCACCTTTGCACAACTAAATGCACGAAGGTCATAATGCTTCCATAAGTGCACAATTATCTGTTTTTCACTTCTCAAATTGCATTCCTCGTGCATTCTTTCATGAGCTGAGTGATATAGGAGGATGTTCAAAGGAGAGGATAAATCATACCAGCTTTTCACATTGGTGATCTTGCAGTTCTTTGGATGCATGTGACTGTCTCTTTTGTAGTTTTTCTTTTGCAGTAGATAACTAGCAAATGATTTTGCTTCTGTGTTTTAATGTCTCTGTATTCTTGTCCTTTATATAAATATGTTATACTTTTCAAACTTGTTTGTGTTCTGTGCACTTGTACTTTGCTTAGAAACATTTAAGAAGATGATTAACAGTTCCTTTCAGGTCTCCATGATGGAAAAAGATAATTACATTGGGCGAATTTTGACGGGTCGCATATCTAGCGGGATTCTCCGTATTGGTGATAAAGTACATGGGATTCGTAGCTCAGATTCTGGGGTGGTTAAACTTGAAGAAGGAAAGGTTTGTGCTCTTGTATTTTGAAATTAACGTATTTGCTGATCTGCTGTGCTTTCTTGTTGATTTGTAAAAGGTCTGTGCAGAACGTAGGTTGATGCTATAAAATGGTATTCTGTTGATAAATGGACTTAATTTTGTCCCGGTTTATAGAAGAATGGTTAAAACTTACATCTAAACGGTTGTTGTCCTCTTCATGCGATTTCCTCTTTTTCTCTCCTTTGGAACGGTGAATCTGCTGACGGAAGTTTGCTTTGCTCTTTTTGCTGTAAGCTTCATTAGATGGCATCTGCCTTGAAATGGAAAATTAATAATATTTTTAAAACTTGAACAACAGTTCACACTTGCAGTTTCTAATTTGTTCTTCTGGGATCTGAAATTCATGAATGCCTCTCAAGAACCCATATGAATGCTGCCTATGTGGTTTGTTTGTTGTCCAAGACTTGAACCTGGTTTAAACTGCTTCTCAAGAACCCATGAAATTTCAGACCTATATGATCATTTCTCGCTGCCGATCAGTTGAAGCTGTTTAAATGTAAACTTCCCTAACCGGCATAATTGTTCAAGTATCTTTGCAAGGAACATATTATCTATTCCCAATGCATTCTAATAATGGAATCAAACAACTCTCATTAAATAAAAAATTAAAAAGTGCAAACGATTCTCAAATAAATTATTAAAGAATTAGAAATTTAAAATATTTTTTTATTTAAATAGGAGGGTATATTCGTCATTTCACAGTTTTTTAGTGAGAAATTGGATGAAAATGGATAGAAATGATGGTTTGCGCAATTAAATGTGTAATTAAGGTTGAAAATACCAAAAAATAAAAGGTAGGTACCTTTTTTGCAAAAAAAATAAAAATAAAAAAATAAACGTAGAAGAATCAAATCACAGGGAACAACATTTTGAGACATTGAAGCCATTTACAAGTTTTACTAGTAATATCATTCCTGGGATATCTAGTAATGGTCTTACATGAAGTGGAATTACAGAAATGAGTCTCTTTTTGCACTGATTCCCAGAACTGATGCTATATTGGCGAGTCAAGATGGCTCAGTTCCTTGTTTATTTACTTTGTATTCTGTTTTGTAGGTTGTGAAACTGATGAAAAAGAAGGGCACCAGTGTTGCTTCTGTTGAAAGTGCTGGTGCTGGTGATATAGTATCAATGGCTGGGTTGGCAAGTCCAGCAATAGGGCACACAATATCGACTGTTGAGGTTCATAGAGGCTTCTTAGACAATTGCACTACTTTTTATTGTTCTATTTCTTTTTTGCTTGATCTGTAATACTAATTACTTTTTCAGTAAAAGCCATTATGTGTGCATAATGTTTCTTACGATAATTATTGGCATTTTATCACCCATTATTGGGAACAAAATCATTTTCATTTGACTTTTCCTCTATTAAATGATGAGAGTGTGCAATTTAGTGATTGCATATATATGATGCCTGTCATTCAGACTCAAAAAGGTTCTGCCAGCCTACCAAGGGGATTTTAGCTGTGTACTTTATTCTCTCGAGCGATTTTGCGGCCAGATGGCCTGCAATTGCTTTTATAACCAATTTTGAAGTTCCTTTTCTTTTCTTTTCGCAGTTGTCTTTAATTTTGTGCCTCAGGCTGTTTCCCTCTGTTCCTTCTGTGATCCACTTTCTTACCTGTACACTCATTCTGCAATTATTCCGTTCTGGAGAATTGGATAATTATCGTTGTGCGAAGAGGATTTTAGTCAATAATTAAAATTAATTCTGCTGCCTTAATTGATCATTTTAATTTAAAATTTAAAACTTTTTTAAGCCTTTGGAATCCGTACCATTAAACATACCTCCTTTCTTGCAGTTTCCATTGCCTATATCTTGCACTTGTGGTTGTGGAAAGAACATGTAGATATTTTAAGCTCTAGTTCTTGTGGGTTTCTCAATTTTGAAGTGCTTTTGTTTGTTCTTCGTAATTTTGGTTCTGAAGGTAGAAAATGCTGTGCATACATCAATGCTTCCTATTACTACAATTATGCTACATTTGTGTGAAACAGTGAACTATTTAAAGGTTTATATATATTCTCACATTTGGAAACTTTTGAGTTGATGTGTTCCAACTTTTCTGTATAACTGATGTGTAAACCATATGAATTTCTTTATAGAAAGTTTTGGAAGTTACTTGCATGCAGCTTTTTATTGATGATAATCATGGCTATATGAGTATTAAATTGATTAAATATGTGATGCATATTCTCCACATTTTTGTGGAAACATTTGTAATTGACCTTGCTAGATATCTGGCAGGTCATGACTGCTTTGCCTACAGTGGAGCTCGATCCGCCTACCATTTCCATGACTTTTGGTGTAAATGACTCACCATTGGCTGGTCGAGACGGTACTCATGTAAGTTGGTTTACTTTTCCTCCTGATCTCCCTCTCTCTCTCTTGTTGCATGTCCTCAACATTTCCATATTGCATCTGGTAATTTACCTTGGGATCTTGAGACTAGAATCTTTTGACATTTTATATTTCTTACTGTTGCTACTTCAGCAATTCTGAATAACTCTCGAACTTCTTCGTGTAGCATGTCCCATCCCCAATCAAATTGCCCTTTTTGTTGGCCGCTGCAGAGGTTTTCCTACTGCTTCAAAATGGACTAAAACAGAGTGTACCCTGTCCTCACTGACCAAGGGACTATTAATTTGAAAAAATTCTATCTGCATGACTGCATTTTGTTTCACCTCGAGTTCTACAATTGTAGTCTTCTGGCTTCCTTGTATCAGAGCCATCTCTGCCTTCTTTACTATGCCCCAATTCAATTTTACTACCCTGAAGTGTTTCAATTTTGTCGATGATACCATCCTCGGGGGTATCTTGATGGTTATTGTTATCCAGTTACTCATTTTTCTGTTTTAACTCAATGCATTTTGAAGATGGTGGCTCATCAATCCTTTCCCCTAAATTTCACTTCACATAATCAGCAAACCTGAACTAATGCAAAAGATGCTGAACTGAGCTCCTGTTGACAATGTCGGAATGAATTTGGTCTGATGCCAAATGCTATTGAAGAAAATATTTAGTGATGCCCTGGAAAAGAATTTCAACAGTGATCTGGTAGAGAAGCTGTTTTGGCTCTGGGCAGGGGAAATGACATTGACAATGGCTTATAGGTGCCTGTGAAGGAAATCGTTGAGGAACCATCTTTATCTACAACATTTTTCTGGTGATGTCAAGATATTAAGTTTTAGGATATCCCAAAACATGCGCCAGTCTGAAATTGATTAATTGTTTTTGACGTAGTGTTCAAAGATAGAATGACATGGAAAGGGAGGAGCACTACATATTTTCAGTAGAATGGAATACTCAGTAATAATCTAGTGGTCATCGAATGAATGGGTGTTTCTCATGACCATACGAGGAGGAAATGTTGAACCACCACATCGAAAAGCTCATTATTTAAAGTGACAAATATTTTATTTATTTCAATTTTATTTTCAATAAATATGATCCCTCGTGTACAGTACGGATCCATTTTTCATTAAAAAGGTGCACAACTTTCATGGGGAAAAGTTGCTGCCATCCTTCTCAAGTATCACCCCCTTTTGAACTTCCCCAACCTTGCCGTTTTATTTTTTTTGTGCACGTGGTCCTTATTGACAGAAGTTGTTCAAATTGACTGTTAAGTTTGCATTGAAAGACGATTTTTCCCTCTATGCTAAATAAACAGAAGTAAAAAAGGAACAAAAAAGATAAAAGGAAAACAAAAACAGCATCTTCATCTCCCTCCTCATCCTTAACCTCAAGTCTCATTTACCCCCACCCCTGGCACCGCAAGACCCCTTCTTCCCTTTTGCAAACAAGTCTTGCAAGTGCAAATGAGTGGTGAATCTAGGGATTTTTGGCTGCCAATGATAATGGTAGTTTTAAAAGTCAAATTCAGGCCTTGAAATTTAAAGCAACCCTGCCGGAAATTAGATTACAATTTCATTTGACAAGTTTCAAAATTTTGGGAACATTTTGGAGTTGTTTTTTGAACTGTGCAGAGAGATCTGGAGCTGAACCTCAAAATTTTTGTTTGTGTGGTTTATTCTTCATTTGCATGTGGGATATTTAAGCTGCAAGAGTTACACCCAACACTTGTGTTGTAATGGATAAAAAGGAAGAAGGGGTGGCGGCAGTGGGCTTGGGTTGCTGGTATTGACTTGGTGTGGATGCCGTGTCTTAGGTCGCTGGGGTTGCTGTTGATGGGACGGGACAGGAATTGGAAGGAAGAAGGGGCAGTGGTGGTGGCAGTGGGGGGTGGGTAGCGGTGTCGGCGAGGGTGGGATTGGGGAGGAAGATGGAGATGTTTATGTTTTTTTTCCTCTCTCTTTCATTTTTTATTGATTATGGTAAATTCACAACCATGCTCGCCGATAGAAGTGCAAACATAAAGATTGGAGATGGCAACAACAATATTTCTTTTCATAAATGGTTGTGACTTGACTTGAACCTAAGGTTTTGCCAGTTTTGATACCATGATTAACCACTTTATCTAAAAAATTGAGCATGTGTTTGACTTGTGCTTATAATTTATAAACTTTTTATAAATGCTCAAGCCATTTTTTATCCACACATCTCGAAGGACCCACACATTTTATAAATCATCAAGCTGCTTTTTATCTACGCATATTGAAAAACCCACAAGTATTATCCACTTATCCACCATATCTATTTGTAATTTAAACCGTTTATATACACTTCCCAAACATACTCTAAGCTTTTCAGACGGAGGATAAATTCATTTATTTAGATTCTGTCTTCAACTAGGAAAATATAAATGAAGTACACCATCATGTGAAAAAAATCTCCAAAAAACTGTAGAAAAACTGTTTCGTGTTTCAGTTGCTGGGATTGCAGAAGGATTTATATATGAAACACAATGACTTTGTTGCAGTATGTTGCATTAACCTATATACTCTTAATCCTATTGTTCCTTAGATATCATACATATTGAATAATGAGATTCTATTTTCATATATATAGTTAACTGGAGGTAAAATTGGTGATCGGCTAATGGCTGAGGCAGAAACAAATCTTGCGATAAATGTGATCCCTGCTATGTCAGAGTCGTATGAAGTTCAGGGTAGAGGAGAGCTTCAGTTGGGTGAGTTTTTTCTAAGACCTTTTTCCTGCCTTTAGCTGATCTTCATATCTCTTCTAGAAAATATATGGCTGTTCATGTGGTCGTTTTGCGTTTTTCATTTTCTTAGCATCCATTTCATTTATTTGAACAGGTATATTAATCGAGAACATGAGACGTGAAGGATTTGAGCTATCTGTCTCACCACCTAAAGTCATGTGAGTTTTTATGTTGAGCAAGTATCTTTTATTTTGTTTATCTATTGTGTTACTCTACACTTTTTTCATATATATATATATATATATATATATTGCTGTCACATGTGTGTCGGCGAAGTCAAAACTAGTGTTGATCATTGTGATCAAATGTTTATGATTAACCGTCACCAAAAAATCTGGTCATTGCATGGACAATTGAATAAAGCGGTGCTTAATGTTAATTAATTTTATATTGGAGAAAATGCAAGAAAGGAAATTTTTTTTTTCGATTTGATAAAACTTCTAGAAAATAATGCTTTCCCAAAATTAATGACATTAACAAAATTGGAATTTTGTGAGTTCACGATCAAGTCTTAACTTTACAGTTTTGGAGTTTGATACTTTGATCGCTGGTGATAATTCATCAGAAGTTTATGTTATTTAGTTTCCTTTACAAAAGAATCCAGTCCTTGCATGGACAATTGAATATAGCAGTGCTTTCTGACAGATGTTAATTGATTTTACTTTGGAGGAAGTGGAAGAAAAGAATTTTTTAAGGTGAATTGATGTAAATTCTTAAAGATAATGCCTTCACCAAAATTGATGACATTAATCAAATTGCAATTTTGTGTGTTCATAACTTTACAGTATTCGAGTGTGGGATCTTTAGATTGGAATGATATCTTTGGATGTGTTTGGGAAATCTAAAATCAGTTGTGTCTAATGGCTAAACCCAAACCAGTAATTTAAACTAGTCCAAGTGTGAATTAATTTTGCTTTACACTGATCTGGTAGAAGTATAATGTAATGCCTATTTCATAAAATTGACCAGAGATGGCAATCACAGTGCACTCTCACAATTAAGTTACAGTATTTGGAAAAAGCAGACCCAACCATGTACATCCTATTACTCAAGAGAGTATGATTTTTCTTTAGCAAGAAAAATTGAATTTACATTGTTGAGAACAATTAAATAGAAGGAATGAACTGAACGTTACGCGATTATAACAAATGAGATTTATGTTTGGAGCCCGTTTGCATGCAGAAAGGTACATAAATTAGAGGAAGAAAACCACTTATATTTTGAAACACTTCACCCATTGTGTACTTCTGTTCTCTTTTGGGCCAGAATTGAAGCAACAATTAAGCTGATTGTAGTAAAAAAAAAAAATCACCGAAACGAGGCTCTGAGGGGGAGACCATTCTTATATATACTAAAACGATTTAGAAAATCTGTAGGAATTAAGCCTCCGTTTGATCTACATTATTATCTCATTAAAATGAAAAATATGACTATTATCCATCACATCAACATTTAAATTCAAATTTTCTATTTCTTGTATGAGCCCCAATAACGACTATATTTTTCATTCTCATTCTATAATAATTTGGCTCAAACAGGGCCTAAGTATACATATATGATCTACTAATATTGTCTTATTCCTATCACCAGTCAACTAACTGGATCACAGTGGTGCAGTATTTGTTGGCAATGCGGCCTTGAATATACATTGTCAAAGGACAAACAAATAATCTTGTGTTAAATTTTGTATTATTTCTCTTTAGTTGATCCTCTGTTCTTTTTATATATATCAGGTATAAAATTGGGAAGGGTGAAAAGCTGGAGCCAATTGAAGAAGTCACCATTGAGGTGAGAATATAGGATGATAACATACGATCTTTATATTTTTCTTACCTCTGAGTTCAAATGTACGACTTAGGCATCATGACTAATACCAGGTAAATGAAGAGCACGTGGGCCTAGTCATGGAAGCCCTATCACACCGGCGAGGGGAGATTACTGACATGGGTCCTGTACCAGGCAATGTTGGCAGGACTAGACTTTGTCTGACTTGCCCTTCAAGGTATGTGCACGTTTTTTATTCTTCTGCTGCTCATACTTGTTTCCATTTTTCTGATTTTTGGAGTTCTGTTTATCTTTACTTTTTTTTTCTTAGAAAAATTACCTCCTGACATAATCATGTAACAAAATGTTTATTTGTTTGGCTCTGTGGTCCATGATTTTATTTTGCGTAGTATTTATTTTAAATTTGTGTTTTAACTTGTGCTTGTGATTTATTGATTGCCTCTATGTATAGTATTGTTCTATAGATTTTTTCATTAACAATAATATCTGGTATGCTTGTAGGGGGCTGGTTGGCTATCGAAGTGTGTTCAGCAGTGACACGCGAGGCACTGGATTTATGCACCGTGCATTCCTCAGTACGGTTTTCTTGCTAATTACATTACCTTTTTTTTTCACTCTCTTTTTCTTTTTGACTTAGGTAAATCAGTTTTATCATATGGACTTATTTTCCTTAATATTTTCCTATGTGGACTTATTTTCTTTAGTAGTTTCCTATGATTCTAAACATGACTGTTAATTTATCTAAAAATGTTTTCTTGGCTAGAAAGTTTGATTGAATGGAACAGCAATAGTTTAGTGACAACTAACCCACTTCATTTCATTTCTGCATTGAGAAATTTTTTGATCTATAGTTATATATATCTTTTCTTGATCCCCAACATGATCTGGTTGAAAAAAATAACAGAACATTGTTATTCTCAAGAAAGGGCAGTTTGGGGTGGGGTGAGGGATTTCTTTTAAAGAATTATCGAGGCAACATAATTTAGCTTGTTGAATTTGGATACTGAGAAGCAACAAGTGAATGATAGGTCTAGCCTTGTATGGGGAGGTAGATACGTCAATATTAAGATTAATGTTTAGGAGCTTGGTATCTTTCAACCTCCAGCCTTCTGCCACCAGCCTAGGCAAATTAAGGATGTAAAGTAGCTATGGCTGCATATGTGTTTATATGCAAAACTCATACATAAATAATATAATATTTTATATACATATACAGTCATGTACGTGTTGCGTACACAAATATATGTGCTTTTTGGTGATGCTACTTAGAATGGATATGCATTATGCTTGACATTCTGTTACATATTGCATAATTCAATTTGAATGCTTTAAAATTTGGCCTAGTACCAGTGAACACTTGTAGATTTTAAAACTTCAATGGGCGTTCTTGAGGAAAGCAAAACAAGCATAGAATGAGATTGGGTTACAATTCTTGCCTAAGTTAATTGCCCTTACTTGTCTATAGCGTTCTGCCTTTCTGAGGATTGTAACATGTTCATATTGCTTTTATAATTATTTTTAGTTAAGCATTATCTGTTTGTGCAGCTTATGAGAAATATCGGGGTCCTCTTGGAAATGTCAGAAAAGGAGTATTGGTACACGACCTGTCTCCTTTCATCAATGCATTAAGAAACTATAGTTATTGTTATTGTTGATATTATTTTCTTTTAAAAAAAATTATTTTGTTATTGTTATTTTTTTCCTTTTCGTTTAAATCATAATTGTAGTTGTGGCCAAATAATAGCTTTATGGATTTGTTTAATATACTTTGGCATTGTGCTCTGGCAAACAACTCTTCGACTATTAGCCACTTCTGCTTCTGTAATTCTTATACGAATACCACCGTGAAGATTGTTTTATCTCAATAAGAATAGTGGGATTCTGTGGTCTGCCAATGACTTGTGTCCTTCCTTAATTCTGTTGATTACCGAGGTTTTGTCTTATTTTGCGAGATTTATACATCTGCCATCTATAAATTTGCAAGTCCCAGAAATTACGTTTGAATTATGAGTCCTTTTTCAAAATGTTTTGGCACATTCGGTCCTTTTTTCAATCGCCTTTTCCAAATCGTTATCGCCTGTAAATGATTAATATATCTATTTTTAGTTATTCTGGATATCCAGAGATTTTGAGAACATTATATCCATCTTCCATTTACTAATGCTTCTAATTGCCTTGTTCAACTTCATTGAACAGGTCTCAATGGGTTATGGTACAATTACTGCTCATGCATTGATGAGTTTAGAAGCTCGTGGGACACTTTTTGTGACTCCTGGAATGGAGGTTGTAATACTTGCCCTTTCTATGTTCCTAAGTTAACCATCTCGATGATTATCTTCGCGGTGCTGACTAGTTTGTTTATGCAATCTCTTGTTGAGAACATTTGGAAGGGCCCAGGTCCTTGCTTGTGAGCCTAACATATGTTCCCTCGTAGTTTTAGGATGAAGAAGATTGACTATCTTTCGTAATCTCAACTTCTAAATCTATTTGGTTTTCTTGTTTTGATTTATTTTTGGGATTGTGTAGTCATATGACGGCATGATTGTTGGCGAACATTCGCGAGATACAGATCTTGATGTAAGGAACTTTTAATTTTCTATTATAATGATTTTTTCATAACTTGGTGGATGACTGACCCAATTGCTGGTTACAGATTAATCCAGTGCGGACAAAGGAGCTAACAAATGTGCGTGCTGCTTGCAAGGATGACAATGTGAAGCTAACTCCTCCTCGCCTTGTATGTATTCTAATCCTACTCTTTTGGTCCTTCATTTTGCTTTTGTTTTCTCTTCTCCTTTTTCATTGGGGCGTGGGGGTTGATTTTAAGGGGCGATGTTTGGGGTTATATACTGTATAATTTGGCTTAGGATTGTAATCTGATTATGTAGCTTGAAGGATTTCTTTGATGTTTCACAAGATATCCTCACATTTCAACATTATATATACCGTTGCATTAAAATAAACTTTCGACAGTTAGGAGCCTACTTGCTCATGTTTGTTACTGAAAAATGTAAGATATTTACAAATGTCTTGGTTTTATATTAAGTAACACAACCAAAGAAAATATTTTCAACATTTTGTTGTTGATTTCATACCATGCAATGCATTTGGTTGTAGATGACTCTCGAAGAAGCAATAGGTTATGTTGCCTCAGATGAACTCATTGAGGTACGTTCATTCCTTGTTGTTCTTTATACTGAGAAAATAGGTTGGAGGTCATTTTGAAGCTCATTGATGAGCCATTTTTGTTCCTCTCTTTTTTTTCCTTTTTTCTCACATTACCTTTATCTGATTCATGCATGGGAGTTATTACTTTTTGCAATCTGCAGTCCATCTATGGTACTAACAAACCTGTCTCAAAATCAAATTATTTTGGCCCAGTCTTTTATGGGTCAAAATGTATCTTGTCTTAATCATCTCAAACTCATATTTATTGATTAACAATAATTGTAGTTTTGCATTTCGGTAGGGCATATTCAGTAATTGGTCTTTCTTGGCTACGCAGGTTACGCCAAAAGCTATCCGGTTAAGAAAGAGATATCTGGATGTTGGTAAGCGTAAAGCAATGAGCAAAAGACCCAAGGAGTGAATTTGTCGCTCAACAATTTTGTAAGCCCACGCCTATATTCGTGTCTACTTGAGCAATATACCATAGTACTGATTTACCATTCCCTCTGTTTAGATTTATACATCGTACATTATTTTACCACCGGTAATAAGCTGGTGCTAAGCCATAAGAGTCAATTTTATTTGGAGTCGTCTGTAGCTCTCTTCAAACTATATTTATTATTCTGGGAACACACTGATACACGGCTGGAGTCTTTTGTAAAATAGACTGGACAACACGATATATTTAATTGAATAAAGAAGTTTATTTGTATATATGATGCAGCAGTGTCCTTCCGAGTACTGCATGTCAAACCTGCATTGCATGCTAGATGGCGTGTTTTTTTTTTCCTCCTGCCGAAAGTCCCTCGTCTCGATTTTTCTAATATTTACCCTCCTAGAATTTACAGTTTGTCACAGGGATATAAAATTGAAGTAAAACCCACTGATAAAGTTTACCTTGAGTGAATGAGTGTAATTATTTTAAAATCTTTATCCCACTCATTTCAAAATAGAGCCTAAAAACATTGGTTGCCTTCTGTAAGTTCAAACGGTGGATATGCAACATTATAACATCTTAGGTGAGTTAGGTTTGTGCGACTTTTTTTGAGCCTTAATCCCACGCTGAATAACATTACTGTTTGGTGCGTTGGAGTCGATGGTCGGAAGCATGTGAGCAATAATGTTCTTATGCAACTCTATGTGAGGGGTGGGAGGAAGAAATAGCCTTGCACTTCACTCAAATGTTTCTACAGGTTCCGTTGTGTATATATTTTTATTTTTTTAATTGTCAGAATTAATTGTTGAATCTAATTTAAATTTTTATCAATTTTTTTAGCTCAACCAAATAAGCGGCAAATTTCTTAGAATTTGAGCAATTTGGCTTCATGAGACTGCCAAGTCTCCCAACAAATGTTTTCCAACTTTCAAAATGAGAGAGGAAGTGGGAGGTGGCAAGCAAAAGAAAAGATGATAAAGAAAATTCAGTGTCCTCCCACAGAAGTCTGTTCCAAATGTATTATGTCATATTTTTTTTTATGGATATTAATTGGTTCAGAATTGATTTCTTGCTGTGGGTAGGAATTATGTTGCCCACTCATCGACGTGGCAATATGTGTGGTCACATCAACGATTGGTGGGTGGGAACACTATATGTTGTCAATCGATAGTGGACAACATAACTCCTATCCACAGTGAACGCGTGATCAATTCTATTAATTGGCCATACATTTTAACGGTGAAAATGATATCATCTTCTCTTTCTCCCACTCCAGTGAAATAAATAATGCACACGAGTCATATTTGTAAGTTCGGATGTTAAGATAATAGAGTACGACAAAGAGCTTCAATTAAAAGAAACAACAATGTAGATGTGTCGTATCTTTGTATTAAGTTAATCAACCTTGCAGAAAATGGCACAAGAAATTTCGTAGTTCATACCTAAGAAATACATGGATCTTGAAAAATTTTTAAAAATCAAAGCATCAACGAGAGATAAATGGTGTTTATTGCACACGCAAGTTCTAACGTGGACATTAGATATAGAAAACAAAAATTAGATTATTCTGAATAACTGAAAAATTAATGTATATTGGAGTAAGAGTACATTACATGGTTTGTTAGCTAAGAAGATATACAAATTATTCTAGTGTTAATATAAAAATGTGTTACTCGTGAAATGTTTAGTTTAAGAGTAATGTTATTTATTATTATGATGATGAAACATCAGTAATGTGACAATCCATTATATCACATTTCTCTCTCTCATTGTCACATTATATCACATTTCTCTCTCTCATGAAAATTGTGTGCAATTTCGTTATTTCATACAGACTGTCACGTCATCGATGTTCCATCATCATTGTGAAGTTAAAACACCGTTTTACACCTTGAAACTGGGCTCAGAATCCTCCAATCGAACACCACAAGAGAAAACTCAAAACCCCAAGCCTCCAAAACGGTTGCTCCACATCACTCAAATGTTTCTACAGGTTCCATTGTGTATATATTTTTATTTTTTTAATTGTCAGAATTAATTGTTGAATTTAATTTAAATTTTTATCAATTTTTTAGCTAAACCAAATAAGGGGCAAATTTCTTAGAATTTGAGCAATTTGGCGTCATGAGACTGCAAGTCTCCCAACAAATGTTTTCCAACTTTCAAAATGAGAGAGGAAGTGGGAGGTGGCAAGCAAAAGAAAAGATGATAAAGAAAATTCAGTGTCCTCCCACAGAAGTCTGTTCCCAATGTGAACTAGCTTATGTCATATTTTTTTTTATGGATATTAATTGGTTCAGAGTTGATTTCTTGCTCATAGTGGGTAGGAATTATGTTGCCCACTCATCGACGTGGCAATATGCGTAGTCACATCAACGATTGGTGGGTTGGAACACTATATGTTGCCAATCGATAGTGGACAACATAACTCCTATCCACAGTGAACACGTGATCAATTCTATTAATTGGCTATACATTTTAATGGTGAAAATGATATCATCTTCTCTTTCTCCCACTCCAGTGAAATAAATAATGCACACGAGTCATATTTGTAGTTTTGTAAGTTCGGATATTAAGATAATAGAGTACGACAAAGAGCTTCAATTAAAAGAAACAACAATGTAGATGCGTCCTATCTTTGTATTAAGTTAAATCAACCTTGCAGAAAATGGCACAAGAAATTTCGTAGTTCATACCTAAGAAATACATGGATCTTGAAAAAATTTAAAAAATCAAAGCATCAACGAGAGATAAATGGTGTTTATTGCACACGCAAGTTCTAACATGGACATTAGATATAGAAAACAAAAATTAGATTATTCTGAATAACTGAAAAATTAATGTATATTGGAGTAAGACTGAGTATTGTTAGCTAAGAAGATATACAAATTATTCTAGTGTTAATAAGAAAATGTGTTACTCGTGAAATGTTTAGTTTAAAAGTAATATTATTTATCATTATGATGATGAAATATTGTTAATGTGACAATTCATTATATCACATTTCTCTCTCTCTCATGAAAATTGAACTGTACAATCTCGTTATTTCATACAGATTGTCATGTCATCGGTGTTCCATCATCATAATGATTAATAACATTTTTTGAATGTATGACTTTAGATAAAACTCAAAAATTGGTGGAATATTGCACAATTATATTTTAATTTGGCAAAACACGTGTTCCCAATGAGTTCGTAAACATACTATCTTTGAGAGTTGGTCTTAGACTGAACTATTTAGTTAATTTTGTAAATATAAAGGAGGTTAAGTTGATCTTATTTACAAAAGGATTGTGAAGACACTTTTCCTTCTCTGGAGGACAGCAAAATGAAAATATATTCATGTATATATCGCCTCGAACCGTGGACTAAAGAACGAAAGGAATACAGTGTGAATTCAACTTTTAATTATACCACGAGCTACAATATGCAGCTAATGTATGAATCACACTATTCTAAGGGTGTGTTTGGGCCACATTATTTTGAAAGAATATATTCTGGAATAGTAGATTGATAGANATTCTGAAATAGTAGATTGATGGAGAATTTGTGGTTGAAAAAGAAGGAAAAGTTATTGATGTGATGGAAAATATTATTTTATTGAAAAATGTGTGGTTGAAAATGAGTAGAAGAATGAGAATAAAAATTTTAATGTGTACCAAACAGGGTCTAGATACAAGAAATATCAACCACGATGAAAACTTGCATATCACATCTTATGAATGACTTGAATATTACTTTAAAACATATCTTTTTAATGATTTTTTCCGAAACAAATTAGTGTTGCCTACACTATATTAGTGAAAATTGTTTTGATGTAGTGCCTATGATACGTGTCAAATCATCTAATTGTATTCGACCAACGAAAACGATAGTTTGATGGGTGTAATTGCTAAGTCCCTGTTTGAAGACCATTCTCTTTAAAAAGATTTGAGTTTTTGAATAGTAAATTTTTGAGAAATATTTGATTAAAAAATAGGAAATAATTTTGAATTTATGTGAAGGGGTCGAAAATGAGCTGGAACGCGGCAAAGTGTGAACGAAGAGAGGTTATTGATCGAGCATTCTTAATGGATTCAATCTCTAGACGCATATTGTAGAGAAGTAAAATTATGTTCACTGTTATTTCGTGTAGGAGTTCAATTCTGTCAACCATTGATGCAGAGATATCCTGAAAATCAAACACTTTCACAAGACAAGAATAGAATAGTCTGCCAGGCTCTCTTTCATAACGGTGTATAAATCTTAGCTTCAATTCAACCCTTTCTCTCTTCCCAGTTTGATAATATACACGAACCCAGATTTATAGAGACACATATAGTGTGTGTGTGTGTGTGTATATATACGCATATACATACACACGTGAAAATGGGTGCTTACAGAGCTGACGATGATTATGATTACTTGTTTAAGCTTGTGCTAATCGGCGATTCTGGTGTTGGAAAATCGAATTTGCTTTCAAGATTCACCCGAAACGAGTTCAGTTTGGAGTCCAAGTCAACTATTGGCGTTGAATTCGCCACTCGAAGCATCCGCGTCGATGATAAAGTCGTTAAAGCCCAGATTTGGGACACTGCTGGCCAAGAACGGTACATATTCCATTCTTCAAATGGACATTTGTCTATATGCATAGGGTTAATTGATATTCGTGTTTATTGATTTTTTTTTTTTTTTGAAGTAAAATGCTTAATATAGTATCTGGGTTGGTCGTGTTTGAATGTGCTATGGTTAATTGATGTAAACTGATTTCTGGTTTCAGTGAATTTTTTGGTGAAATGAAATGTGGGTTCCTACATTAAAGAGTGCTGCGGGGTTTTAGATCTGGGGATTTCGAATTGAACTGTTTTATATTTTTGTGTTATCGCTCTTAGTTATACTTGTGAATTCTAATGTGGTTATATCTTGTACTTTCGAATTCAGATCTAGTGGCTTCGTGTAATGAAAGAACATGAACGATTTTACCTCGAAGGGTTTAGTTTTGAGTTGATCTATAAACAATTAAGATCAATATTTTCTTGTGTTGTACCTCACCTGAATTTAAAGTGGTGGTTTCACAGCAGGGTTTTTAGCAATGCTTAAGAATTTTAGCTGATCACTTTTCTCCATTAGTCTTCTGGCGGTTACGTTCCGTTCGATCTTTTAGCTTCATTTTCCCAGAAGCCGCTTCATCGATGGCAAAGGGCACCAGATACCTGCGTCAAGTTTACCGAGCTGATATTATGTGGTACCTAGAGAAATTTGGGTATATTGAATTTTATTCTCAAGGAATCCACTTGCATGACATGTAAACTGTCATCCTCAGTGATTAGAGATTGTTACCGACAGAATTTATGGCTTTTCCATGGTTTGAGATGTTGGTGCATATTATTGTTTAGAATCTGATAGTACAAGAATTACAATTTCCTTAAATATCTTCAGCTGTCTATAGGTCAATGCAAGAATTTCTTTCGACACGTGAATATTTAAAATTTTAACTTGTTTGTTAAATTGATATTATATCTGGACCTCATTCATTTCTGTAAATTTCTAAGTTGTTTAACTTACTTCAGAACGGAGCTTCTCGTTCAATATTTGTGCTCAACTTGCAAAGTTTGGTTTTCATGCTGTACGAATCCTTGCCTTAACATATATTTTTTGCTGAAGATATCGTGCAATCACAAGTGCCTACTATCGAGGAGCTGTTGGCGCATTGCTTGTGTATGACGTCACACGTCACGTTACATTTGAAAATGTGGAGAGGTGGTTGAAGGAACTCAGGGATCACACAGATTCAAACATTGTTATCATGCTTGTTGGAAATAAGGCAGACTTGCGTCACTTGCGCGCTGTTTCCACAGAAGATGCAAAGGTATTTGCCGAAAGAGAGAGCACATATTTCATGGAAACCTCTGCTCTGGAATCTATGAATGTGGAAAATTCCTTTACAGAAGTTCTTAGTCAGATATATCATGTCGTCAGCAGGAAAGCTCTCGAGGTTGGTGATGATCCAGCGGCTTTGCCTAAGGGACGGACCATTAATGTTGGCTCAAAGGATGATGTTTCTGAGATGAAGAAAGTTGGCTGTTGCTCTGTTTAAAAAAAAGCAACTCCATTTACTCTAATGAAATTTAATATTCATGGAGCAGGAGATTTCCCATTGAGCCATTAACTACGTTGATTGTTACGAAACTTTATCCTTATCATTGTAGATTTAGTTCATTGGAATTCAGAAATTTGTCCAAATCAAAAGAAAGGAATATCGATTACTTATTATTCTTTTGTTCTTGTCATCATCATCATCAGCGGCTGCGTCGGGGTGTATTCTCCTAGTCTTAGCTCGTAGAAATCCCTTACACGAGATAAATATTTGATTGCCAAATATTCAAATTTAGGCTTGTAGTTTGCATTGTGTTTACAATCCTTTTTGATTTTGAATTTTTTCACTACTGCTGGAAACTGTGTTAAACGAAATTACCTGGCCTTCGTCTCCTGTGTAGGCTCCTATTGGTGCTTCTGCTATTTCATTATTATTATTTTTTATTAGGTGGAAGGATCGCTTTTTCCAGTTTTCAATTGCATAAATGTTCCTCATTAGTGTATCATTATCAAAGTGCTCTTCAAAATTGAAGATTTTTAAGTATGAATAATGCTATTCATTTAGAGTTGTGATGATTGCTCATCTATAAAATAGGGAAGCTATTATCACATTATCCATTGAAGTTGGAATACATTTTTTCTTTGAATAATGCGACAATAACTTTTGCGTGATCATAACATTATTCTTTTAAGCATTGTTTGATACAATGTCGAATGCAGGCATTTTCGTTATCAGGATCCATTTACTAAATGATCACTTGGAAATTATATAAATGAGCCCTTTTAACTCGGTGGAAAAACGATTTTCTAAAATAATTTTATGCAAATGCGAACAAATAAAAGGGACAATAGTAGAACATGACATTTTAGAGACAGAGATCTCGTCAACTCAACTGAGGGTCGAGTTCAGACATGTTTTTAAATAATTTTTATTTGAGTAACCGTTTTACACAACCAAATAGAACTACATGTTTTGGTTACAAGAAAAGTAATACTCGCAACATCTAAACCAACTTATTGCAACGTACAAGAAAACATAAAAAACCACCACAAAATTTGAGCAGACTAATTTTCAACTCAATTTTCATGGCTTATGAACTCTACAGCTCTTCCATTCCAATTCAAGCATTATTGCTCATCAAACTTTCTCCAGCAGATTCAATATCTTCACCAGGCTGATTTCACAGACCGATACAGTTTACTGAGAATACTAGCGCGAAGAGGCCATTAAAGCTAGTTCTCAATGGTGGACCAAGAATTTGCAGCAACCCAATCAAAGGCAATAGGACTCAAGAAAGCATCTGGTATACCAAAAGAACTAACCAAGGCAAGTGCTTGTGGTCTGATTTCACTGCAAAGTTTTGCGAGTTCTTTCCTCACAGCAGCAGCATTGTCTGTTGATAAGTATCCATATCGAAGAAATGCAGCATCTTCTTCCAGTGTGACCAGCACATACATCGATCTCAAAAGACCCAATATATTCTGCAAATATGTGTAATTTTCTGTCAGTTCACAACTTTCAGTTTGTCCATGTAGTAACCTAAGATTCTCATTTTCCCGGTGATAATCAGCTGACAAAACTAAGTGAGTTTTGTATAAGCATTTGCTAAAAATTAAAGCCTCAATGAATGAGAAAAGCGGTGATTAGATAGAACATGGATGCACTAAATTTACCATGGTAGGAGAATGTTACATATTAAACTCAATGACTTCAAAGTTTAGTTCTAAACTCAAATCAAATTTAAAGTATAGCAAATATCCAGGACAGAGATTATTATTATTTTTATTTTGTGTCTTTCTGGGGGTTGAGGTGCTTTGGGGTTGGGGTTGGGGTTGCGGAGTGGGTTGCATTGCAGAGCTTGGTCCCAATTGTTCAAGGGAAAGAGGGGGAGAACCTTTGATCTAAGGACTTCTAAGTGGAGCCCTCAACCATTAAACCAACTACTTACAGAGTTTGAAAGAAAAGGTTTCCACATACCTTAAGTGAGGCATCTGTCACATTATTCTCAGCTTCTACAGCAATCTGCAAAATTGCTCGGTCTGAGAAGGCTTTTCCCAAATCTTCAGCAACTTGATAACTCTGCAGGAATAAAATAAATCTAGTTAACAAAGAGCCCGAGGCAGTGAGAACCCAACCTTGGAAGGGGGTTGTTTAGGCGAGACTCTGGCACTGCAATTTATAATTGAGAATTGTTCTTACCACAACAAATGCAGACTCTTTACTTTCCCCCTGCGCTTGGTATTTCGAGACTTCAGCAGCAAAGCAGTTTAATAAATCTCTCTCTCTTAAGCAGAAGATGTCATTCTGTCACAGATCATCAGAAATCCCCATAAGCTTCATAATAACTTATCTAAGAAAAGGAACAAAGAAGAAACTTCATCATTACCTGAAATTGAGTGCTCCTCAGGTTCGAACTGGTAAGCTGAGAAGGAATAACTGGGCATGAATTGTTCATATGTTCTAACCCCAACTCTTTGAAGGGTTTATTTCTCTTCTTTGCTGCAACATACTCTGCCAGCAGAGCCTTGCTAACCTGCATCAAATGTGCTGAAGCTACAGAAACTTTTGAAAGCTAAAACCAATAACTTGATTAACCCGCACATGGGAAACAACACATGTTTCAAATATTAATTTAAAATTTCTTCTATTACTGTCAATCAGGTATGTTGCATCATTGCCATTTGTAAAAACGATCAGTTAACCGTACCTGTTGCATAAGAACATTGTTGTCACCCTCAAAAGTAGACTGCACATCATATTCACCTTTCAGTTGGCCAATTCGATTTTCTGTCTTTAATCCTTGTCCACCACAGGCTTCACGGCATTCCTGAATCATATGTAATACAATATAAGAGGAAAGCCTATCAACGTCTCAAAAAATGATTAGCTATAATGATCTTGGCTACCTGAAGAGTTCGCATGTTATGCCAAGTCAGTGTGGCCTTGAATGCACTAGATACTACATGGATGGTTTTGATCAGTTGAGGACTCCTCTTAATGTACAACAGTTTCAAGTAGTTACTAGCAAAGCTCATAGCATACCTGCAGCACCACAGAACAACATTTTTTAAACAGCATTGTTCATTCTCGTTGACGAGAGCATAAATATATCCATATGATAAAACTTAGTGAATTGTACACCATAAGTACAAGAAAGCTACTGAGCATTGAGTGCAGCCAAATTCTAATAGCAAGCTGAAATCGTACTAACTAATCATCTATGATGCACGGACACGGACACGTTACCTGTCGGATATGCTGACACGTGATTTTTGAAAAAAGAACAAACGCGACACGTTGATTAAATTCTTAAAAATTCTTCATTTATATAATATAAATTTAGTTTTATACTTATTATTAATTTTTCTTGTTGAAATCTTTTAAACATGAGTACCTATTTGTTACTTGCTAATAACTTTGAATTAACAATATATAATATTTCTAATATAAAAATAAAAATGATTACGTTAGAGTGTCCAAGAAGTGTCGGTATCGACTCATGTCCGACACGAACACGCTATCCTAATTGAAGTTTCCTTGCTACAGAGCTAATCATGAATATATGGAGTGAACTATGGTAGCTTATCTACCTTCATTACTAGTCTCTCTTTAGTAGGAAATTGCTTGAAAGATAAGGACGCTTTTTGAAAAGCCTCTGTTGTGCTTAAGATACAGGATTACTATTTGTAACCGAAAGGGATCATTGACTTGTTGACGAGGAAACTGAATCTCAAATGGACAAGGGTATGAATCAAAACAAAATTAGATGCATGCTACGGGAACTTATACATGAAATAATACACGTGATTTCTCTCACAACAATTATTTCCAACTTCTGAAGCAATGTACAAACTTACGTCTTCGCAAGAAGTGGCAGGAGGCGGCGCTGATGGCTAGGATAATCGAGCAAAAGGAGTTCAGGACCATTTGTTGTGATTGAAAATGCTCTCCTTGTCAATGCATATCTTATGGCGATTGCTAAACTTATCTGATAGGAGACAATTAAGATAAGATATCTGTGAAGAATTGAGCAACTGTAGCTTGATATTTAACTCTCCTGAAATTAAAAGAAAAGTTTAATGACAATACTAATCACCTTTGCTGAGTACACAGCACTAGCTGCGATAGTAACTCGACCAGATGTCAAAGGAGCCAGGAATGCAGCAAACCTCTGAAGAAAAATTAATGTGTGTGAAATTCCACTGAAAAGAGAGTTAGTGTAGAATGGATTGAAAAGGAAGCAAGCAAGAAAACGATTCATAAAAAGATGTGAATAAGTTTGCTTCAACACATATCTCAACAAATATAGTAGATCACTTCCGTCTTCTTCTCATTAGGTTTATTGATCAATGATGAACTAGTGCTCATTGTGTAAGTGGACAAAAGAACAGCTGAAAAAGATAATTTAGCAAGAGATAAAAGCATATGCCCCTTGATAAAGCAAAATCATAAGATGACCAATTGCTCCAGTATCATCAATAAAGGGCGTGTTCGGTAGAGATTAAAATTGGATTAAAATTGAAAAATTAGCCGTTATTGTTGACTTTTATTAGACGAGTGGAACCCAATAACGGCCATATTTTTAATTTAATTGGATTTTAAGCTGTACCGAACATGCCCAAAGATTCTACTTAGCAGTTGACTGACTTAGGGAAAATGTGACGTGTTCAAGCAACACCCACCAATAAATCACGGCTTCTTTTACCTAGATCAGTTAAAAAAAAAAAATGAAACATCTACCTGGTCTGGATCCTTTATTGCACTCAAATATTTTCCATCTGGGGAAACATCAGCAACTGAGTTCAATAAATTTTCTCTAGGAATGCGAACATTGTCAAACCTAGAAAATTTAAAATCATAAAGCCATCAGATCACACTCATTTACCAAATAACGGAAAATTTATGGTCCGCATAGCCACAAAAGAGATTCATCTATACCAGATTCGACCATTGTCAACACCATTTAAACCAATCTTATGACCACAATCAGCAATCCGAATATTGGGACAGACGTTCCCATTTTCATCTCTGATCTGGGTGATAAAAGCATGGACACCTTGATTGTTTCCGTCAATATTGAGCTGAGAAAAAACTACCGTATGCGTCGCATGCTACAAGGCATTTAAAGGAGAGCATATTAGTGTTTTTAGCCGACAGTGAGAAGAGGAAGTTGAGAATATAGAGTGAAAAAAAAAAAAAAAAGAAGTAAATGTTCCAAAATGTCTGGAAATCACTATATGGACGGAAAGATTACGTTAGCTGCACCACCAATCCAGTACTTTTGAGCTGTTTCACATGGAGTGTTGATTACAAACTCTCCTGTGTTTGCCTCATAAGTTGCAGTTGTTTCAATGCCTCGAACCTGTAAACATTGACTCAAAATTCTTCAATAAGAAGAAAGAGGATAATTCTGTTGGCAAGCTATATGGCTGATGCTAATCAATTGAACAGTCTTTACATACATTGCTTCCATGCCCCAATTCTGTCATGGAAAAGCATCCTTTAATCAAGTAATTTTCTGTCGCACTCAACCACCTATCGTGATGTCGCTTTGTGCCAAAAAACTGGATTGCGCCACCCCTTGAATCGTCAACATTGAAGCAGTTAAAAGTGCAACTTATTTAAATAACTTGAAGCACAATGTAAGAGAACTCCAACCCAACTAGTTTCAGATACACGCACAAAAGACGAATCTGAAAACTCAACCATAACATATTAAATACAAGCTCTATTAAAATATGGATATTTTATACAATCATGCTACAAGTAAACTAACTTTGACATTGTACCACGTGGCGACATCGCATTGGACAGCTTTTAAAAACAACACACTTTCTCGCCAAGCACAATTTGAATTTGCACATGGTGTCAAACTTGATGTCAAGAAAAGAATGTACAAGAGGCTTTATTCTATTTTATAATACACACGTGGTAAAAAATTTTAAATTTGTGCCATACGAAAATAATTTTACTAGTCATCCCCTACTATTTGCTCCACCATGGAGAATTATCGATCCAAATAATGCCTCTTTCTTTATATGAAGGCATATCAATTTATCAAGCAAAACCCAATATTGGGAATTTTCACAAATTTATAAATGCAAGTAAAGAAAACTATGAGGCGTATGGTACAAGTACAGCTTCAGAATGCAAGTACCTTAAGCTGTCATAGTTGTACATTTTCCCAATTTAACAACTATGATATACAATGAAAAACCCATCAAAATGACATTTATAAACAGCAAAGAAACCATTAGAAACCATCAAACATACCACAAAAAGAAGTGCACTCCAATCTTGATTGCAAGAGAGTGATCAAAAATCTCAATAACCTCCAAAAGAGCAAACTTTTTCATCTCAGCTTCGGGGCCTTTACCAGTCAACCACCCCTTAAATACCCCATGATCCAGTAAATACTCAATTCTCTTCATAGTGATCTCTCTCTGCTGCTCCATGGAGTGATTATAATCCGGCACAACAAACACTTTGCCACCTCTCAGCCTGGGATTAAAAAGCTTGCTCTGTACCATGAGGTTGAAAAGCCAGTCCCTGTCACCCAAGTTGTGCCCATCCATCAGTTTCCTCATTGAACTCACGTCGAACGAAAAGGGTTGTTCGGAAACTTCCGGTGGCACGTAGCTGACGCATGGTGAGGCGGAAATTATGTCGGCGGCGGTTGAATGGCGGTGATTTTGGAGGTGGCCGCTTAAAATTTGTGTTCTAAAATTAACTTTTTCCATAGTGTTGGTAGTGATGAATTGATGAAGAGGATGTTTTGGTGTTTTAGTTTCTTGATTGCTTTACCTTGAAGAGTGGATCAATCCGCGGGTACGGGGATGGGAAATGTGGTGGGGGGAAGGGCCAGAACAAGGAAATTCTGGTAATTGGCTTTTAGTCATTGTACGCGCGAAGAATATGTGTAGGCTGCACGCGAGCTTCTCGAAGCCTTTTCTTCCCTATTGGGAAATTTTGAGAGTCGTCGTATTTTTGTCCTGTTTATTGAATTCCTAATTTTATTATTTATTTGTTTTAATATGATTTAAATTCAAATATAAAAATAAAATAAAATCAGAATAGAGATCATGTTCTCACCATCCCTCAATTCCTTGGCGGGGCGGAGGAAGACATTTTACCATTCATAGTATTCGGATTTCGGACGCAAAAGATATAAATATTTTAGAAAGAGTAAATTTTATTTGTGGTTGCTGACCTTTTAATCAAATCTCGATTATGCCACTAACTTTTAGATTGTTACGATTGAATCATTGAACTTCAATTTAGTTTCAATTTGGACTGCCGAATTTCACCACCCCATTACTCATCGTCTCCTCACACAATTTAATTTAAAGACATTTTCTTGATTCTCGAATCACTATATTTATTTTTAGGGTACTATGTACAGACTGCATAGAATATCAATTATGATATGACAATACTAAGTAATTTGTGCCAATTTGGGGATGATATGTGAAGAATTATAACACGTTAGTTAAATTTGAAACTAGATTGAAGTTTATTAACCAAATTAGGCTGTGTTTGATAGATATTATTGAGAAAATAATGTATTTAAATAATGATATGATGGAAAATATATAGTTAAAAAGTAAGGAAAAATTATTAATGCGATGTAAAATATTATTTTATTAAAAATATTGGCCATTAGATAAGTGTAAGTGTACACGCAGCCTTCCACTCTATACTGTTGAAGGTATAACCTGCAATTTACCTTCTTCACCAAAGCCTAGGATAGGTGGGGACCGTCAAGGATGCAGCTCATCTTTTTTTTTTAAAAAAAAAAGGTAAGGAAAAATTATTAATGTGATGTAAAATATTATTTTATTAAAAAATTTGTGGTTGAAAATAAATTTTGAAATAATGTGTACCAAACATTGGTTTAAGATAACTGATAATTTAAAGACCCAATTGAAATTCCAAAAAAATTTGCTGCGGCAAATGAAATTTATCCTTTGTAGATAAGATCAAGTTGTTGCTAGAAAACTATATGGAGTACTACAATACTGAATAGGATAGAAAAATACTACAATAAATAAGATTTTATTTGTAACATTTATTACTTTTTAATATTCTAATATTTCTCACTAAGTCAACTATTATTTGAAAACTATTTTTTCTACGTACTCATTTTTTTTCAATTATTCATTCTAAGTATGTTGTGTTAATAGTAAAAATAATAAAAGGTATAAATTATTCAATATATTATTAATAAAATAATTATTCTTGAAATGCGTGCAACGTAATCAACTACTTGAATGTTATCCTGTGACATGAGATTTATAAATTATCCTTTTGTATTTGCAATTTGCCCATGCGATCCAACTATATTTGTTATGCCATTGGTAGTTGACCCATAAATATAGCTGCAATCCATTACGAGCTTGTTTGGGAAAAATTATTTAAATTTTTTTGGAATTAATTTCGATCACACATTTTATAGTATTCATATATATATATATATATATATGTGTGTGTGTCTTTTATTTCAAAAATCTCTCCCAAACAAACTCTAAAAAAAGATATAGACAACCTCTCAAGTTAAAATACAATTATTATTTTTATTATTTCCAAAAAATGATTCATTTCTCTTTGTTCATAAAGTCACGATGTGAAAGGCAATGAACTTCTTTTCATGCTTTCCTGATCGATCCATTAGAATCTTTCTTTTTTAGTCATGTACTTAAAAGCGAAGGATATCCAACAGTTGATTGAAGCAAAGCATGCAGCTTTCTATAAAAATTGATTTTAAACCTTAGCAGAGTGATGTTGGAGTTAATATGCAAAGATTTACATAGGCCTATAAAAATCATGGTTTTTTTTCCCTTCTTGAGCTGACTGAATTATGAGAGCATAATTTTCTGTGTTCCAATCTCTACAGACTTCCATTAAGAGTGATTAAGCGGTTATCGCTTTATCTTCAGTATTATGTGCTCGTTTGAAGTTGAAAATACCACCAATGCCTTGATCTTTGGCAACCTGCTCGAGCGTTGCAATTCTGTGCTTAAGAAGCTCAACTTCTCTTGCTAGATCTTCATCTCTTTGCTTCATAGCCTAACATAGCAAAGAGAAGACAGTTAACTCACAAGAAATTGGACATGTTCCTGATGGTCGACTTAACGCTTCCATCACTTCGAAAAATATAGGAGTTTGGGGTGGGTGAACTGGTACAGGCATGTTTAGCAAAAGAAAGATATAAGGAGGACATCAACATGTACCTCTAATTCTTTCCTACGCAGTTCCTCCTTTCTGGCTTCTGCTCTGGAACGACTTTGCACCTCAAAAATGACAGCAGTTCCTGCAACCTGATGGAAACAGAAAGATAAAGCGAACTTAGAATTTCAAATATTGAGAAAGCAAAGACAAGATAAGAATCCATAGAATTTTCACAACTTACAACAGTCAATACATGGAAGAAAAATTATATTAACGTGAAATAAGGGAAGAGGGAAAAAGAAAGAAAACATAAATGCAAGAGGAATCATGACAGGTATTTGTGGAATAATCAACACGTGTACAAGAAAAGGATTTCCTCATGGTAAAGCACCATAATGATGTCGATATAAGAAATTGCATATGGTGGAGCAAGAGCAAAATTTAGCAAAAATAGAGACTGATAATTCTCCGAGTCTTCATGGGTATGCAATTTTGCCAGCAAGTATGCGTGCAGTTTACTTTGGAAAGTAGTGGACTAATCTTTTCCAAATTCTTAGACAAGGAGAACCCAAAAAAGATATACTTGGATTTGCATATTTGCTTCAGAAAATATCCTATCACGTGTACAAGTAGAACAAATTAATTTTAATCATCTTCGAGTAATCATGAAAAATAGCTCAAAAGTTCCTTCATTTTAAAGATGTCTGGATCCAGTGCTTATGAACCACCATATTACCATTGGGGTTATAATAAACATACATATCACATTCGTTTGAGTCAAAACGGAAAATATCTTTCTGATGTGGATAAATTGCAGACCCCGTCCCAAAACCTTTGTTTCTTTGCATTACTATCTCCAACCTTCTATATATTGGTGCCAGATGGTTGAAGATGAAGATGAAGCCTTTTCTTTTTGTTGACTCTGTTTCTTCTTTCCACTTTTGCATTTAGTTTTTCCTAGGTCAAGTTGAAGGCTTAACTCGTCTTCCTATGCTACTGTAATAAAAAATTTGGAATGAAGGGACCACGGGAACGAATATATGAAAGTTAAGGAGAATAATGCCAAGAAATAAATGTTGGGGATAGAAGTGCAAAGAGGGTGAAATGTTGGGGATGAAGGCTCCAGTTTAGGCTTCTAAATTAGGTTCTGAAACCATCTGAATCATGTCATACAGGCACCCAACTGACAAACTAAGGACATAATCAATCCTGCGAAAGAGGCATGTCAACAGTCAACCTAAATCTGCTTTTATATTTTCATGTCAACAAACATAGTATCTATGTTGAAGTCAATAAAGTGTAATAAATAAACTCCAGTCATTCATTTATTGGATTAATTGGTAAGCAGTCGTTCACTATGCTATATTAAAATGCTAAGTTTCTAAAGTGTGATGATAGATCAGGACAATGAAATATCTTCTACACACTTGCAATGTTGACAACTATGGCTCCAACCACCTGCAACTGAGAGAAAACTGACATGCCAGAATTCAAACCATTACCTACAAAAAACTTTATATCTCCATTCACCAAGTTCCTACTACTGAAGTTGTGAAGCCAAGATAAGGATAGCTAGAAACACAGTACATAATCCAGGAACAGCACTTATGTCAGAAGAGATGATAAACATATATAGTTAGACAGCCACCCATGAGATAATATGGTATAAATTTTATGTACCCTAGATGCATATGCCAGTTACGCTAACAAATAAAAATTAATGAAAACTTTCCAGTTAAAAGTTTAAAAGATCAACAATACCGAGAACACAAAGAGTTCGCCTAAAAGGTCTGCAGCAGCCTGAACAGCTTTTTCTTCATTTAGAGGACGAATTGCAACATTTGTTGCATGACCATAAATCTGCCTTTGCAACGTTGTTGTGAACCGATGGTTAGCCTGTAAAAGAATCAGGGGATGGAAGATTATGAAAGTCAGAAAATATAACTCTGTCAGCGGAAAGTGATGCAAATTTGGTGCATTCATGTTCCCATTAATTTGGGCATCAAACTTTTCCTTTTATGACACATAATTAGCAAACTCAATACCCCCATTGAAGAGTCCTCATCTCAAGAAAACCATTTGTTTGACATAAGAATCAATGAATGGCATTATATCAGATACACATTTTCGGAAACATAAGAGACAAGTATATTTTATTGATTTGATAAAAGCAAATTTCTCAATCAAATCATTAAAACTAATCAATTCAATAACCAAATTAACAAAGACATTTAATCTTCATCTCATGGATATAATGAGCACCCTCTCTACCATTTCTTAGTTTATCACTTTCTACCATTATTGGAAGGCCAATGGGCAGTAAAGCAGACCTAATACACTGATTATGACACGAGCATCTGAAGTTGAGATATGGTTACAAAATCAAAATGAAACAAAAATATCATGTATTGACTATTGAATGAGGTGTTGGAAAGTTATCACTTTTAACTTTTGATTTACAGAGCCTAGATATAATGCTTACTTCTAGTGCATAGTTCTATGCTATTTTCAACTCAGTGAGACTCCATGATAACATGATTCAAGAGGAGGGTATATTGTTCCATGTAATAAACATTCCCTGGTTTCTTTACCCTATTAAATTAAAAACACATTTTTTGACAAGCTTATTTCATCATATAATTGTACACTTGTAACGACCCAGGCCTTGTGCCCAAGCCGCTAGAACATAAATACTGTCCGCTCTGATAGGACATCTGCCCTCTTACCCCTCACAGATTTCTATTGCATCCCCATTATTTGAACCCTTGACCTTTCCCTTAAAAAAAATTTAAATTGAATCCTGTACTTATAACGACCAGGGCCGATTTTGTGGCCAGGCAGATGAGGCCAGCACCTCAGGCCCAAAATCGGAGGGGCCTATTTTTGGCCCAATTGTTTTTTTTTAAAATTATTAAATGAAGAACAAAAGCAAAAATGTCCTCTGTTTCCACTTTGTCAAAACCCTCTCTGTCTGTACCGTCACTTGAAGATTGCATGAAGCTACAGAGAGGAGAAAACGATTCTCAAAGGCTCGCATGCCTACTCTTGGTCACCAAATTCTGTGACGATTCCGCCACCAGGCTTCAGGTATTAATTCAAAGATTCTGTCAAGTTTATACACCGCAGTCAAAGTGTTTGGTTAAATTACTGTTAGAATTACGATTCCGCCACCTAAAATTTTGGATTGCCGAGTTTAATTTTAGGTTTTCAATTTTCAACTTACTGGCTTTTTGATATTTGTCTGTTGTAAAAGTTAAATGGTTTTTGTATTATTTAAATTAGACTTTGATTGTAATTATCTGTTTGCATAACAGGGAAATTTGGGAAAAATGATATCACAGCAGATGAGAAAGGCTGTCATGGACAATCCTAAGAGAATTCATGGGTCAGTCGCAGAGCTCTTGGTTGGGTTGTTTTAGGCGTGTTTGGTTGCATATCAAGGAAAACAATCTCCAGGTTAAATCCTAGTCCCACTTTCGAAGTACGTGACATTAATGCTCGTGGTTCTTAATTCGTAGTTATAGTTAAAACTTTTTGTTTCTAAATCTACTGTTTGTTCCCAGATTACTTACTGTAAGGAGGAAGCATATCTTGTATGATATAGATTTGTATTAATTTGATTTTTGGACTGGACTTGCAGCTCCAAGTGATTCATCTTATCTATGGTTTTGTTTCCACTTTCTGTTTTTTTTTTTTTTTAAATAGTTAAATAGGATTTCTAATTTCTGATTTCATAGGATTTTTGATGAAATTGCAATTTGCAATTGGATTCTAAATTTAAACAGAATAGATTAATGCAATAGAATTGAATATTTGTATGGATGGTTGATGTTAAATTTTTATTTCAGGCTCGTGAGTTTTGCCGGTGGAATTTTCAAGGGTGCGATTCCATAATTTTCACTGAAATTCTACTTCTCAGGTAAGCAATAGTTTGCCCTAACTTGTTATTGAATATATTGAAAATGTTTGAAGCCTTGTCGGCTTATATAATTGCGGCTTGATCAANGCCTTGTCGGCTTATATAATTGCGGCTTGATCAACTTATATGATTGGTTATTATAGGATATCTTGCACAGGAGCACGTAGTAACTATATTGGAGACTCTAACTTTAACGGTGAAATGATTGAGATATTTTGTAATTGTCTTGTAGATTAATCATTGGGCATTAGATATAGACTCGTACACCATGCCTTCTAAATATTAGTCTGGAGATCTAAAGAGAAATATGAAACGAAATGAAATTGTATTAACTCAAAGTCAGGGGATATTAACAAGTACTTTAAAAGCAACAATGTGAATGTGTTGAATAAGGATGAAGTAGTGATTCAACGAAGTAGATGATACAATAGGTTGTATAATATCTTATTTTAAGTCAGCAATATATTATATAATACACTGTTAGATTTTGTACGTTGATTTTGGGGGGCCTAATTTATGGAGTTCGCCTCGGGCCCCGAAAATTACAGGACCGGCCCTGATAACGACCCCGGCCTTATACCCAAACCGTTAGAACATAAGTGTTGTCTATTCTAGGAGGGCACATGATTCAAATTAAGTCCTTAAGAAAAAGATCAAGAGTTCAAATTGTGGGGACTTGATAGAAATTCGTAAGGAGTATGATGGGCTTCAATTCTTCCATAGTAAATAGTACGTAAGTTAACTATTTGCGCAAAGAGACTGGCCATTACAAAAAAAGTTGTCCAATTGGTACCAAAATTTAATTTAAATCTCTCTTGAGGGAAAGTCAAGGGTTCAAAACCTGAAGAAGCGACAGAAATTCATGAGGAGCAAGATGGACTCATACTCTCCCAGAGCGGATAGTATGTAAAAGTATGGCCGGACACGAGGTCTAGATGATTACAAAACACTTTTTTTTTTTGTAAGGACCAGACCTCTGTTCAAGTCGTTAACTTACGTACTGTCTACTATGAGAGAGTTTAGCCCATCTTACCCCTCATAGATTTTTGCACGTCCCCAAGATTCAAACTCAAGACCTCCCCTTATGAGAGACTTAAGTTAAATCTTGACACTAGTTGGATCTATGCCCAAGACGTTACGTACCCGGATTTAACTTAAGCCTCTCATAAGGTAGAGGTCTTCAGTTCGAATCCTAGGTACGCAACAGCAATTCATGAAGAATAAGATGGACTAGGCTCTCCCATAGCTGACATTATGTAAGTTATGACTTGAATATAGAGGTCAGGGTCGTTACAACACTCCTTGAAGCAAAAATGCTCCCTTCTGCATCACTGAAATACTTCTTGTTTCCTAGCTATATAACATGAGTCCATGACTACAGGTTGCAAACTGAAGATTAATAGGAATGTTTCCTCATAAACATTGTTGTCAGGTATTTTCTCAATCTAATCTAACAGGTTCATTCCTATACTTGTTACATCTTAAATAATTAGCTTGACAGATAACAAGTTCTTCATAGAGAGGTTTCCACGAGTGGGAACTGGTAAATATCAAAGGAACCAGATTATTTCAAAGCAAAGTCCACTTCCTAATGAAATGATATGATGAAATTAATCAGATTCCAGTTAAAAACTGGTAAACCTTGAAAAGAAATCAGTAGCAGTAAAGCCTGATGCCCTGATTATCACTATTATGAGGTAATGGGAAAAAGTGAAATGGGATTGCAAAATCCAATTTTTGCATTTCTTCTCTTCTACGTAAAAATGTTTTACAAAGTAAAACAACCATATTCTCCTAGACATGCTAATACAAGCAATTGCTTCCAACCAAGTAATTGCATACATTATTGCAGACCAAAATTACTTCTAGCATTCTATTTAACATATATATAAACCATTATATTAGTATCCCTTCAAAATGTGTGTGAGAACATAAACACTTTCTTCCCGTTATACCCACAAACAAGACTCTGCAAAAAGATAACCTTAAAACTCCTAAAATTACGAATAAATAAAATCATTACGACTTCAGTACATATAAATCAAGAATTTTTAACAATTTCAACCCTTCTTTCCCAGTTTTAACTCTTCTAATTATGCCCATTTTTACACACCCAGTATAAATATAGCGCAGTTTAGATCATTATCGTATTGAAATAGCGGAGGTACTGACCTGGGCAATGTTGATTATGGATTGCCTGAACTTGGGGTTCAGGCCCGCCTCTTTTTTGATGCGTTTGCCAATGGGTTTGCAAAGCGTTTTCAGTGCAAGTGTGCCCAGCTTGAACACTGGCAATATCATCCCTACTAGCAAACTCAAAGTTATATGCGAATAATTTATGTATTTATGTGTGTATATGTATTGATGTCTAGTTTTGGGAATCGAAGGAATCCAAGTGCACACCAGGTGCTCGATATAATGACTAAGAAAGTAGATGTACTGCATTTAGTGATATTTGAACTGGTATCAAGTTCTAAAATGCGCAGTGTTTAGATTGCGCATCAATCATTACAAACGTCCTTTTAATTTTATTTTTTTTAATAATCGTGGATGTTCGGGTCAACTTGCGCGCACGTCGACTAATTTCACGGGCCCTAAAATTTACGGCCGATACTAACCTCAATAGCCATGAGGAGATTCGGGAGCAAACACAATACCTGAACAATTGAACAACCTCTCAAGATTAGAAACGTCCTTATAACTTATAAGAAGTATATATGTAATTATGCATTATCAACATTTTTAATATTATTTTAAATAAATAAAATAATACATTTTTTTTATATTCCTCAAATTTAAAAAAACATATTACTCAAAATTATAAATACTACAATTACTTAAATTTTATACATATTCTTCATTTTTTACAAAAAAACATATTTTTCAAAAATCAAAATCATAAATACTACAATTATTTCGTGATCAATTCCTATAATTATATTAGACACAAAGATCGATTTAAAAAATCCTAAATCTTTTTGAATTTTGATAAATATCTCTCCCTAAAATTAAAAATCAAAGGACAAAAAGGACCTTCAAAATTCTTATTAGGTGAGCAATGCAAAAAGGAAAAATGTACCTTCAAGTTTTTGCAACTCAATGAAGATCTTTGAAGTGAAACTAGAGCAAGATCGAAGGAGGATCCGGTTCGGCGTAGATAATTTGCAACTCCATGAAAATTTTTACTCTGACTTTTTATTTTTTAAATGTCAAAAACCTACATATTACTATATATAATTCATGAGTTTGGTTGATCTGGACTAATTTGATATTTATTGAACTCAATTTGCTTTTTTAAGTTATGAAAATGGGCTGAACTTTGTTAGGCTAAATTGAACATAATTTTTAATACCAATAAGTAGACATTTTGGTGTTTTAGCGCGAATATGTGGTCAATGAAATGAGTTGACCACGTTATTATGTTCACACCCCATGTATGGGGCATTTCGAAAACGCTCCCAGCATATGCACGCTTGTGTAAAGCATATACATGCATTTTAGAATATTGATTGGCATTGACAAAGTATGACTCTTGAAAATTTTATTTCAACTTTAGCTCATTTTACTAAAAAGTTTGACAATATTCGGTACTTCACGATTAGTTAATATGGAGTATTTTTTACAATTGCAAATGATGCAAGTGTTCTTGAATTTTATGCTCCTATTGTTTTTCATGTTATAGTTCTTTTACGCGGATTATTGTTAAAAATTTTTTACATGTATATCAGGATTTACTTCTCTAGTGTATATAATGTCTATGTGCCATTTCATCATTGGAGTCATTTCATCATTGGACACCAATGATAAAATGCCACCTGGACATTATGTACACCAGATGTGTAAATTCTGATATACATGTAGCAAAAACCTTTATAGTTATTGCGTTTCTCAAAATAAAAACAACATTGACCCACACTCTTACTCCTTTTTTTTTTTTTAATACATTCTCATTTACAATGGACTAAATTAATTGTATTCTTCACTTTAGCCTCAGTTTGACAATAGTTATGTTCAAACTCTTTTTTTACATACTTATTTTAAATTATACATTCACATGATAAAATATTTTGCACATAAATTCAAAAATTTTTCCTACTTTTTAACCACAAATTTTAAAAATCATTATTCAAAACTTTATTTTCTCTAAATAATGATCGTCAAACAGGAGCATAACGTTCCACGACTTAAATGGAGACATTACAAAAGAAAAGTAATTTGTTTGCGATAAAAAAAAAAATATTTAAAATTTGTTACCAATTTTAAAATTTAATTTTACCCTTCTTAGCATTATAAATTTTGTCCAATTTTTTTTGTTTTAACGCCTACCACCCCTACTATCTCAACTACCCATGCTCCGTTATTCAACCTCTACGACCAACATCGAAGGTATTTCTTTTTTTTTTTTAACCAGAACCTCCGTAAATTTTATTAACGAACCCTTACTTATGGCGAATGAATACAGTAGTTACAAAAAATCACAATCATAATCAAAGCGAACCAAACTCCTTATAATTTAAAGCAACATTTGAAGATTTAAAGTCAAATTGAGAGGAGAAAAACCTGCAAATTAGGGATGCCGAGTTTATCCATAGGCAAAGCTTCTGTAACTGACGATGAGATTGTGATAAAGTCCATCCAAATTTGTGAAATACTAGACGCACCCAGCTTCGACAAGCTATTAGCTACTAAGTTATCCTCGCGATATATGTATTGAACCCTACACAAGATTATAGACAAGAAGTATTGTATTTCTTCCAAGTAGTCCTCCAAATACCAAATACTGCAAACCTTTCTCCTTATCCAATTAACTATAATCAAAGAATCTAACTCTACTTCTAGACAATTAATCCCCATTTTTTTAGCATGGTAATGCCAGTAGCTCAGCACCATTATTAGTACCCTCGCCAAGTTTCTTAGCAAAGACTATGACAATGTCACCTTTCTCATTTCGAATAATACCTCCAGCACGACAAATTCCAGGATTTCCCGGATAACACCTATAGTATTAAGTTCGTTCCACCCAACCAGTAGTATTTGCCATCTCACTACCTTGAACCTTTTTTTTAATCGGCTTCACTGGTATATTAAGCTCCATCAGCACCCAGTCATCTCTTCTTTTTAACATTTTCGCTTCTTTAAGCTTCAGCCCCACCCAAGAGACCCAATATTTTATCTTCCTCCAAGTAGCTTCTATAGATTCCATCTTTCCCTACATCTCATGGACGGATATGGGGGAAGGCTGCACTGGGCTTCAGCCTATTACAGCTGTGGTCCATATCCTATTTTGCTTTGTAACTTTTTATTACAAAAGTTATATTTTGGCCCAAATTTAAAATTAGCCCACTATCCACTTTCACTAATATTTGTCCGCTTCAAGCCTAATTTCTTAAGTGGACCAAATTTTAGAATGATCCCACTTCTAATCTCTTGCTCAAAATAATAGATTTTCTTTGAAAATTTAATATAGTAAGTGAAAGACAATGAACAACCTTATTTTTGCTACAATAGTCCAAAGAAATAAAACTCAAATGAGAG